TCAAGATTTGTTAATAAAGAGAGCTTTGATATCCACTTTGCATCACCATTGTTTTTGTCGTCTACTGTGAGATTCATATTTTAACCAAGCTGCAATGTGTGCAACATGGACAGATTCCTGAGTTGATAAGGAATCACTCCAACAAGATAATTTCCTCCAAGATTAATGTACTGCAACTTGGAAGGATTTCCAAGTTGCCAAGGGATAGCTCTATCCAAGTAATTGTTACTTCGATCAACATATTGTAAGTTTGAAAGCTTTCCCAGTTGATTGGGAATATGCCCAACTAAAACAAAATCAGAGAGGTTGAGATACCTTAAGTTGGTGAATGACTCTATGGATTGAGGGATGTCACTTTGATAGAAATTATTGTCACTGAGATCCAAATGTTTTAGATCATGCAACTCACTCAACAACGTAATATTACTGATACCAGCCATATAAAGTGGACCTGAACCGTGGAGATCAAGGATTTGAATGTGACCTATTTGGTTGCCACAATGAACTCCTTTCCAGTTGGAACAATCTTCATTATCTCCGTCCCTCCATGTGGATAGTATACTAGAGTCAGTGTAGATGCCTTGTTTGAACAACAGAAGAGCTTTCCTCTCCTTCTCGATGCACTTCTTCAATGCTTCACCATCAGTGGCCAAACTGAGCCTTGTATGTAGCAACAACAGCAATGTCAATAATGCATAACAAAATTTGAACAAACAGCCCATCACAACAACAAAATAGCTTCAATATAAGTTCAAAAGTGAAACAACTAGAGTGGATTAACACACAGTTCTTGGATAACCGTGGTTTCTTTTTGTTTATTGTTCTCAGCTCATGAGATTTTGAGAGGTATAAATAGTTGATGGTAGAATTTTTATAGAGTTCATTGTTATGGTTGTTATATTACTCTATAAAATTACGAGTCAATTAAAGTCTTCCTCTTTTTGCCCCACTCAATGTAGAAATATCCCTCAAATAAATTAAAAAAGGCAAAGTATATTCCATCACTGATTTTCCAAGAAGCTTCACGGCCATCATAAATTATATTAGACTAAACTAAGTGACGACGAAGCTGCAGTAATCTTACCTTTACATAGGATATAAATACACACACACATATATATTGTACATTAACTTTAAATAAATCATAATTTGTGAAAATTATGCTTATTTGTACATTTGGTGTCAAAACAAAAAGACATTAAAATATTGAGAATAATTTAGAATAAAATTTAAACTATTCAACTTTTAAATGAACAATTAAAATATATATGCTCATATGTTATATCCAGATCCCCTGGTAACTGGGGATATTGTGAGTTGAGGTGCGTTCGATATGCAGACCATAGATAAATAATCATGATTATTTATTCACTGTACAGCTTAATAGACGGTTGGGAAAGATTTAGCTACGTCTAGAATTAACGACATGTACATTATACGAGAAGAAACATTTTGAGATAAATATTTTTTTTGGCCGGCTTGAGATAAATAACTTGATTTCAAATCATTCAATCACTTAAATCACTACATACGCATCCTTAAAAATACAATCTATAAGTTAAATCACATAATTTGACATTTTATAAAATATTAGAAAAAATAACATAACTATATATAGGCTTTTATATATAGAGAGTTTCGAAAATAATATAACTAACTAATAACTTGTATGTTTTTCCAATGAAGAAAAGTCATCAGAAGATATTATTTCAATGAAAATAAATGACAATATTTTCTCGGAGTTCATAATATTGAGAATTTTGCTGATGTTGGATACAGTGCTCTTGTAAGATATTATTATTTTGCTTCGACAAAAATATTGTCTTTTCTAACCAAACATTTTATCACACAGACATACACAAATATTTTTTCACAGAAATTGAAGTAGAATTATTAAAATACCTTTTCATTATTTTAATGTATTTTTAGGCCATTCTCTCCTCACATCTTCACGGATTATGTTGATATAAATGGCTTACACAGATGATAAAGAGAAAAAGATATTTGGACTATTAATTATGCACCAAATTTGTCGTTTAAGTATTGTGTCTTAGTTATTTTGAACGAAACAACATTTTAAATTTTTTTTATTTTCAACTTGTAAATTAAAATTTCATTTTAAATAAATTACCCTTATGAATGATGGTTTCTTGTCGATCACACCCGTCCTCTTCGGCAAATATAAAAATCATCCCTAGACTTTTCTCAACTCTGACTTTCACTCTATTCAGAAAACTTGGTGGGAAAAATGGCAAAGAAGAGTATAATCTGGTCCCTCAAAATGAGTGGCCAAATCTCCATGGTGAATATTCAATAACGAACCACCATTTTCACTCTAATTTAATTTCCACATGTCAGACGAAAGTGTCCATCCTAGGCTTCGGGATTAACTATCATCTACGCTCTAATTTCAAATTGATGCAGTTTCTTGGAAAGCACCATTCAACTACTATAAGAAAATATTTACGGAGAATAAAAAATTTCAGAGACCATAATGCCAGAAACGAAACAACATGTATTCAAGAAAAAAGAAAAAAAATCATTGGAAAAAAATAGTTCTTGTCATCAGGAAACTAAATACCTTTGTCCAATTATTGGTTTTATAAGGGAGACCCTTAAAGAGCTTAATGAAGGAAATTTGAGCAAAGAAAAGGCATCACAGGAAAGGATTCATAATAACTCACTAACTATTTCCTAACAATTTCTTGAGATGTTTACATTAAGCCAACTTATTTTAAAGTATCAAAACCAATCCCATCAATGTAAAATATAAATTTTATAACAAGTTTACAGTTATAGTATCTCTATGTCTCACTATGAATTAATTGCATGCGGATGGACCAGAAATATTGATACGTACATATTTCGAGTTGTCACCGAGTGTTGATACTCACTACAAAAAAATAGTCTATTAGCAACGGAAAATATTCCATTGCAAATTCCGTTAGTAAATAGGCTTAGCGACGGAATTTTGCGACGAAATATTTCTGTTACAAAATTTCGTCGCTAATTCTGTCGCTAAATTCCGTCACTAATTTCTACTCCTATTTTTTGACAGATTTTTTGACAGAATTTGTTTCCGTCGCAAAATTCTATCACAAAATCCATCGCTAACATGAAATTCACAAAATTCTACATTATGATTATAAAATTTGAAAAATTTATATAATATAATAGTGTAATTATTTAGACATGTATTTTAACAATTTATATATCTATACATATATATAAAATATAATAGTTTAATTATTTATACATATTTTCTGTTGGGAAATAGAAGAAAATTGATATCCTTATTAGACACTTTTTTGAAATTGATTATATTTTTTTGAGGTTGTGAACTTAAATTAAAAATATGAATATAATTCGTAATATGATTTTATTTTCTTGTTACAATATGATTAATTTTTTTGTCAGATTGCTGCTCTTTCTTTCAACATTAGTGTCAAATAAGTGTCTTTAGATATGATAACATATGTGAAAAGTTTCTTTAGATATGATGAGATATGTGGAAAACGTAAAGACATGTTGAACTTTTACCTAATTGATAACTTGTTTAACAACATATTGAAATATTATTTATTGACTTATTTTCATTGAATGAATAATAAGGGCGCCATAAACTATAGAGTTAAGCTGGAAACCTAATAACGAGGTCAATTTAGCTCAATTTGCATATATTTGATCTGTTCGAAAAAAAGAAAGTTTAAAAGAAGTTTTGGCAAGGTTAGTTTAGATCCAAAAGCGAGTATGTTGGGTTAGCTTCATTATTTGATTGAATTACTCAACTGATGACCCATGTTATTAAATATAATCTATAGTGTGTGTGTATATCCTAATTTTCGTTTGCAACTTGGAGTAATAGTAAATGCTCATTTGATAATGAAATTATATATAAGAATATCTAAGATAAATAAAGGGATGGTAAAGTATAAAAAGAGAATCAATATCTTGAATTTCTAAAACAATAATTATAAATATTTTGAATTTCTTTTTAGTCATCCTGAAATTGAGAAATGATAATTAGAAAAGAAAATTAGAGATTATAGAGTAGATCTAAGACTATAATAAGAAAAATCTTATTAGATCTAAAAATATTTGATTAGAATATTATAAAAAGCTTGACAACTTTACTTAAGAAAAAAAATTTCATCCTGGTAACATATAAGTTAGAGATTCTGCCCCTATCATTATAATCCTGTAGATTATATTTAATTTGTAAATTTCATATTTAAATATATCTATATTTTATTGTCAAATATTTCAAATATATTTGTATTAAATTTGATAAAAATATTTCGAATAAACTGCTGTTTAAATCTTTATTATTGAAGTGTCTTATATTTATGTTTTTTGTTTTAACTTTATTATATTCTTTTTAATGCTTATTTCTTGATATATCTTATATTTATATCACTATATATATATATGTATGATATTAGTTTAACATTATTGGACAGTATTTCTATATTATTATTACTATTTAGGTTTTGAGGTATGTATTAATTTTCTCTAATTACATGCTTAGATGGCAAAAATTGCTGGTAAAAAAAAGGAGGGAAAGTTGAGAGGGAAGGTATTGAAAGATAAAGTGTGTGTGAGAGAGATGTGATATAATTAAAAGTGAGATAATATATGTGAGAGAGAGGTATTATAATTAAAAGGAATAATTTTAATAATTAATTTATCATTTTAATGCTAAGTATATTTTCTATAATAACAATTTTATTTTATAATTTTTTACTAAAGAAACATTTAATTAGATTTTATATCTATATGTGTGTGAAAAATCTTGCTCCTCCAACATATTCGCATGTTCCCTCCATTTGCAAAGGCAAAATTCATTTTCCCTCCACAAATATCACAAATTTGCTCTCTTTAGGATTTTTTTTCTAATTTCCTTCTTTTAAAAAATTACAAGAATCGCAAGAGGAGGAGCCATACCACTTCTAAGGGTTTCCTCAATGCCTAAGGGTTTATTTCTCTGATGAAACCCCTTCACCATCGTCTGCTAGTCCAACAAAGGCACCTCCAATCCTCCACTCCTACTCTTCTTCCATTTCTCCTCCTTAGATCAAATCGCGCCTGAATGTGTAGGTTTTGAGACTCAGAGTGTCGGCCTTCCATTCGCGTTGTTGTGTCCATTCACATTCTTCGGTCTCCTCTTCAAAGTTTAGATTCTATTCCGTTCTGTCAGCCTCCTCTATTTTCATCGTCAGCGTTCAGATTCGTCACTGGGTAGCTTCTTGGCATTCTATTTCTTGTTTTCATCTTCTGGTTTAGATTCCCTTTTAGATTTCATTTTATTTGTGGGTTAATTTTTATTTCAAGGTTCATATCTCCCTTCTAGTTTTGTTGAAAATATTTCTACTGGTACTAAGTGACTGCCTTTTAGTACTGCCTTGACTAGTGACATTGCAGAGGATTAGCACTTCATTTGGTTGATTGGATTCTCTGCAGTTCATTCTGGGAGATGGAAAATGAGGTACACATTTAGGCAAGCTTTAATGTATACTGGTCTTTGATATATATGCTTTTTTATTGGAGTTTTATATTCGTTTTATATTTATTGTTGTATACAAATGTCTGTAATTCCCAACCCTTATTCGTAACTTATGTAAATTGGGCCTTTTTGCTTTCATTTGCTTTTTTTGGTTATTCGTTTTATATTTATTGTTGTATTATTGGAATTGGCTTCTATGTAAGAAAGCTCATTCTTCGAGCTATCAAAGTACAAACATCTGATTGTGTTGTTGCTTCCATATTACGTTCATCATAATCGGTGGATGAGTGTTGTGTAATGGTGATGGCACAAGCATTTGGTTGCTCTTGACGTAAAACTCATGAAATGAGAATGTTGCAAGTTAATCATGTGTAAAGCATCCTAGTTTGTTTATTTGCATTATAGATTCAATTACCTAACTAAAAAAATTCCCCCTCATGTAAAGCTGATATAGATTTCACTCTGATAGTTGCAATGCTTCAAGGCATTTGGTAACTTATGATGAGCTTGTTAGTGTAAAATATAAATGAAGAGTATTGCCTGGATATGGCCAAAACATACTGGAATACTATTAATCTAGCAAGCAGATGATGTATCAAACTCATCATGATTTAAAAGAAATTAAAAATACTTAAAGTAGGGGAATCTTCATTGAGAACCTCATGGGGACCAGTATATCGATACTAACATGTATCAATTGAATTCCAACACCAAACTTATACTTTTACAAAATTCTTTCAATATGCATGCAGTTTCAACACTAAAACTTTAGCTCTTTAATTTATTATGGTTTATTAGCTTTAATGATTTCTAATTTTTTCCTGATTGTATTATTAATTTTATATTGTTAGGATGTCATTTCATTAGGATGGTCAAAGATCCTATCAGATTAGAATCTGATTTTGAGTTATTACTACAGGCCTAGCCCCAACTATATGCATTGATCATTCCAATGGAAATAAACAAGAGCTGAGATGTTAATCCCTTAGCAGATTACAACTTAAAAAGATTGCAAGCATCTTATCCAAAATGTCTATAATTTCAGCCTCAAACATTATGAGCATTATTACCTGAAATAGCAAAACAGTTTCCTACTGATTGAGCATTCCACAACTATTAGACAGATTTACATCACTCTTGCAATGCCATAATTGGGCAAATACATGTAAAATCTGTCATTACATGAGATGCTTGGTTGCTTAGAATATTAAGGGACTTATGATTTACGTATATATTGTCTATGTATAGAGTTACCAATTATTGAAATGCTTGGTTGCTTATGCTTGATTTATATTATATTTACCAATTATTGAAATGCTTGGTTGCTTGGTGAATGCTTTTTTTTTTTCTGGTTTTAATTTGTTGACCTGATTGTGTGTGCAGGGTTGGATTATAATAATTTGAGATGTAGCAGCTCCTTTGATAGAGTTAACTAGAGGTCTAGTGGCAACCCAAACACAAGTTGTAGAACTATTCAAGTAAGGTGACCATTTAACTGTTAGTTGGGTTGACGTATAATGTTTTGTTTTTTTTATCTAGCTTGATATATGTTGTTTGATTGTTGTTGGTAGGTAGTCTCAATACATTCCTATCTCTTACATTTTTCAGAATCTTTTTCAGTTTTTTTTTTGTACTTCAAAGCTATCTGTTAATGATTGTTTAGCAAGTCTTGTCTTTGGTAGGAGTTGTCCTTAAATAAAACTTGTTAGTTTCTTCATATACAAATGTTGCATTTAACTTTGCTTATTCATATATATGTGTGTGTGTATTTGTTTGCCATATATGTTACTTGTCTTCTCCAATTCTTACATATTATTATTGCACACCTCTTTCTTAGAATGAAACAAACGTAGAAGCATTTGAAGCAAATGGATTAGAAGTCATACTACCAATAATTGTTCATAATGATGAATTAAATAATGAAAGAGACTTTGAAATTCACTATGAAGAAGTAGACATGTTGATTGATAACATGGTTTATGATGATGATGATAATGAAGAAGAAGAAGAAGAAGAAGAAGAAGATGATGATGATGATGATGATGATCAAGAAGAAGAAGAGGAACTTCAAGATGATGAAGAAACAAAAGATAGTGAGGAAGATTCTTATATGGATGAAGATGAAGATGATGCATAAATTATGGTTGTGACATTGCATTTGTTACTTAGTTTTCAGTTTGATTGATTGCATTAACTTCTTATTTATTTTTGGGAAAATTAATTTGAGGTCCTTACAATTTTGTTCAATTTTGAATCAAGTACTTTTTTTCTTTTTTGAATCCTTTAATTTTGTGCTGTTAGATTCATTAGTCCCTACTGTTAAATAAAGATAAACACTGTTAAAAATTTTTGTTATCTTCCCATTCCCCACCATTCCCAACCTCACTGTTTTCTCCCACTTCTTCGACCATATCCCGTCTCTGCAATAGCAAGAAGGCTCACGTCTTTGATGATGCGAGTCTGTATGAAATTGGTTCATTAAACACATGAAAACCTCAAAATTTCAGCTGCATCCCCCATTTGTTTATTTGATATATTTCTTCATCTCTCACACTTATCCATTTTCCTCACACAAACTTCCCAACTGGTATTCCTCCGCCACCGTGTTATACAAGTACATTATCAAGACAATCTTGACGATGGGAAGGTGGGAGTCCGAAAGAGCTAGGAAAAAGAAATAAAAAGAGGAAATAGAGATAATGAGATCATGGGAGATCATTTGAAGACTTCAAAATGGGGTTTCTTGAAGAGTAATATTTTTCTTAGATTATACAAAGAGCCAATACAGAGCCAGAGCCCAGAGGGGAAAGAGAGAGAAGGTTGGGGGTTGTCTTACTCTTACTCACAGATCGGTGATGAACGATTCTTGTGGGATTTTAGTGCATATTTTTTGGGAGCCTGGTTTGTTTTTCAAGAGTTGTGCGAGAGAAGGATGTCAGAATCTAACTGCTGACAAGACAAAAGCAGAGATACTAGGAAGAGGTGGGAAGGTTGGGAGAATGACAGCGAAGGTGTAGATGTAACGAAAATTTTAACAGTGTATGTCATTATTTAACGGTAGGGACTAACAGAGTTAACAGCACAAAGTTAAAGGATCCAATAAAAAGGAAAAAAAGTTCAAGGATCTGATTCAAAACTGAATATAACTACGAGGACCTCCAAATTAATTTTTCCTTTATTTTTCATTTAGATTAGATTATAATTCTGTTAATTTCTAAAGAAGATTTAGTTCTTATTGATTTAGTTTTTATTCATTTATTTAATTTTGAATATGCAGAATATATATTCTGATTTATAATGCATCATTCAAACTCTGTTAAATGGAATCTTGTTTTTAACCTTAATGTTCTTAAATTTATGACATTTTATTGTATGGGATTATTTTTAAATTCCAAATTGTTTCTTATAAAAAAAATTGAACTACTTGTAGTTTATAAACTTTACTTATTATCATGAAATTTATTTCTTTCTAAACAATTTATAAAAAAAACCCATTTAAAAAAATAACTGACAAAATTTTGTTGCAAATCAAAAAATAAGCATAAAAATTGAAGAAGAAAAATTTGTACCTAATTTGCGACGGAATTTCTGTCGCAAATTCTATCGCAAATGTGTGTGAGTTAGCGACGGAAAATTCCGTCGCAAAATATAGCAAGTTAGCAACGGAATTTTCCGTCACTAAATGCGGTATTTTGCAACGGAATATTCTATCACTAATCCTACTTTATTTTCCACAGAATTTGCGATGGAATATTCTGTCACAAAGTACCGCATTTAGTGATGAAAAATTCCGTCACTAATTTGCAACCAAAAATCTGTCACAAATCCGTCACAAAATTAGCAACGGAAAATCCGTTGCCAAATTAGCGACGGAACACAATGTCTGTCGCTAAACCAATTAGTGACGAGGCTGTTTGTGGCAGAACATTTTCCGTCGCTAATTCCGTCGCTAATACTTTACCAAAGGAATTCCGTCGCAAATCGATTTAGCGACGGAATTTCCGTCGCTAATTTCCATCGCTAATAGCTTGTTTTTTGTAGTGACTTAAGCTTGTTGTTTAATTTATAGTGATATGTCAAAGTTTTAAATATTTGTCTATAAAAATTAAAATAAATTAATGGGGGTGAAAACGGATTGGGTTGGTGGGGGGAAAACAAGATAGTTGCCATTACTTAGCAAATTTTCCACAAAAGCTTTGATCTTTTTAGTTTTAGAGGGGAGACTTTGACTTTTGTGGTAAAGAAAAAATGAAGGGGAAAATTTATTTGAACATAAGCTTTATGGTTATTACATTATAAAGTTATGAGTCAAGTAAAGTCTTTCTCGTTAAAGTCCCACAATGTCCAAGTCTCCCTACACAAGGCAAAATACATTCCTATCCATGGGTCGAGCTTCACAATTATTAATAGATATTTTATATTACTTCCAATTTTTAATATAAGAATCCGTTGACTAATTTAAATAGATTAAGAAAACTAGTTAAATTAATTATTTGTATTAAATAGGTATTTTTTTCTAAAATATTCTTATTAATTAAGTTTATTAGCTAGAATTACTATTATTACAATGACTACATAAAAAAACAAATTGTTGGGAAGGAAAACAAATTGGGTTGGTGGGGAAAAAAAAAACAAGATAGCTGTCATTACTTAGCAAATTTTCTACAGGAGTTCTGATCCTTTTAGTTTTAGAGGGGTGACTTTCACTTTTGGTGTTGAGAAAATGAATGGGGAAAAATTATTGAGTAAAATACAATGACTTTCCTTACATTTTACTCTAATTATACCAACCTCTTTTTAATTTTGAAAACATACACTTAAATCCAAACATTGAGAATATTTTCAAAAGATATTTTTTAATTAAAATTTATATTTAGATATTTCTATTTACTAATTTACCCTTCATAACACAGAATCCCTAAATTTTGGCTAAAAGGTTTTGAGGAATTTACAATTTTTTGCTTACTTTTATTTCTTATTTTTACAAATAGTTATTTGTTTAGTGTTTTTATCATATTTGGATAGACAATTAATTTATTTATTTAATTTAGACATAAAAACCTTGAATGAAAATTTGATTAATTCTTTAAATAAATATATAATAGATTAAATATTTATAAATGTTTCTAACAAAATTTTTATTTCAAACTTTGAAATTATAAATTTAAATGATTTTTGCAGTATCTCAAAATTAGGTAATTTATATTATATGATGAAAAAATATTTATTTAATATAGTGTTTAGCTATTTAAAAAAATCTAAGTAAATAAGTTTCATTATGCAGTAAAAAATTAAAATTATAAAATTTAATAATATAATGAAAATTAATAAATTTTATTACATATTAAAAATTTGAAAATATATGTATTAAAATTATTTTTTTGTATCAAAAAATTATTTTGTTGACAAATATAAATGTTTAAATAACTTTTGTGTTACTAAAAGGGATTTTATATTATCAACTATCGTTTTGGCCCCACAATGTCCTGATCTCCCTCAAAAAAAGGCAAAATATATTGGGAGAATTGCAATTAGGTCCCACTCAAGGGAATTAAATGCAAAAAGGTCCTTTGAAATAATGAAATTATTCTGAAGTCCCAAGGGACCTTTTTGCAATAAATTTTATTTGTTTAATTACCAAATTACCCTTTTTTTTTTTTAACTTTGTATTGACAACTAAAAGAGCAGTGGTTGACAACTCAGGGTGCAAGGATTGACAACTATCGCAGCTGGTTTGACAACACATTTTCTCAGTATATCACACTATAAGTTATCAAAACAGTCGCGATAGTTGTCAATCCTTGCACCCTGAGTTGTCAATCACTGCTCTTTTAGTTGTCAATGCAAACTTAAAAAAAAAAAAGAAGAAGGGTAATTTCGTAAGTAAACAAATAAAATTTAATGCAAAAAAATTTTGGGACTTTAAAATAATTTTATGATTTCAAGGGACCTTTTTATATTTAATTCTCTTGACTGGGACCTAATTGCCATTTTCCCAAATATATTCTCCCGTACGTGCGTCAAGCATAGATTTGGAGATATATTTAATTACATATATATATATATTACCTCCGATCTTAATTATAAGACTTTATTTACTTTCTACAAATAATATCTTATAATTAGGACTGGAGGTAAGGGAGTATAATCAAGTTTTATATTTTTTCCTCTCTTTAATAAAAAGATCAGATGAAAAAAAATAATCTTATTATAAAATCTGCTAATATGTGTCATTTCTGGTTATTGTTTTCTTGCTTTGGAGATATGGGTATTAAAAAATGGACAGTACTGAAACCAGGTGCACAAAATAAAGTGAAAAGGCTATGGTAATAGTTAATTTCGTAGGTTAGAAATAATGATAAAATATCCAAATAGATGAATATAGGAGGCGGACAAAATGAGTAAATAAAAGAGCTCAAAAACCAGGTGCACAAAATAAAATGAAAAGGCTATGAATAGAAATAAATCATAACGGGGTAAATGAAAGTAACTAGCATGCCTTTACCCTTTTTTTTTTTTTTTAACACGCATACTTTTTAATAGGCAAGGTCTACAAGGGAAGTGAATAAGTTGCAATAGTGGATTATATACTTTGGTAAGTGTAATCCACGAGTATTTAAGGGCACACTGGATTGGCGAATGGTCAGAGATTAGACTACCCGGCTAGAGGAAATCTTTAGAATGATGGATTGCTCTGCTAAGACCAACGTGCATATGGTAATTTACGAGTTAAAAAGGAGAAATAGATAGGAGATAGAAGAACTCAAAAATAGTCAGCTGGGTTGCTGTGACCCCAGTTACTTGGGAACCTTCAAGGGTTAATTCTTCCAGAAGTATTCCCTTGAGATCAATATGGGGTGAGAAGGAAACTAAACTCCTTATTATAAGTAAGCGAAGGATGAACGGTGGTTCATTGAGAAGATGATTACGGGCTTAAGACTAGAACTGAGAAGGTATCCCCGAGATGAATTGGAAATTCAATAAAATGGTGAAAGCCTGCCGAATCACCAAGAGTAGTTAAGAGTTGTTATGATCATATCAAGACAATCTTGAGGGTTGATAAATCTCAAGCAAAGATGATGACCGAGGGAGCTTTTAGTTTTAGTGAGAGCTCGAAAAGGGCATGCACCGAGGAGAAGTGAAGATTGTTAGATAAGCATAGATTTATGAAAATTATGGGAGAAGCTACGGAGACTGGTGATACATAACAGATCAGAAGTTATACCTTCATCTTAGAAAACTGGGAC